TACTGTGAGACTACAATTTTTCATAACTTTTTGGTCTTTGGAAGTTTTTCTTCCTTGAGGAAGTTTTGAACTCGTTAGTTAAAACCAGTGATTCTCATTACTCACTGGTTAGGGGTACCAGTGAGAGGATATCTGCTTGCCAGCCTACCTTAGGAATGACCTCAAGAACTGCTCATCTGCATTGCAGACACAGGCAATGGACATGTTTAGTCTCTCTTTTTCCATTTTGTTTTTCTATCTTGTTCAGATTATTATGATCAAAGAGTTTACGAAATATTTTGTAGGCAGAGCAGGATAATGTGAAAGATCAGTGCACACACTCACAAAGAAATGATATCAAGTTTGAATACCACTAGCGGGTATTTAGTGGAAAGGAATGGAATGAGCTCAGCTTGCCATCTGGCTCATGTAGAATGGAAAGCTAAGGCGGACTTGCCAGTAAGAACTTCAGAATTGAATGACTTCAACTCAATTGAGGTCAGAAGCCCTTGATCACCAAGCGTCTCCAGTTCCTAACTGCAAGTCTCCTGTCAGTGGCAGGGTGTAATTAGGCAAACTTAAACATACATACTTAGAATGAGAAGTTCTGGTGTGGCGCTGTGGGTTAATGTGCTGGACTGCAACATCGGGTTGAACCGCAAGGTCAGTGTTTCAAGCTCATTAGTCATTCCTCGGAAACCCTACACACGGTAGTGATGGGTTGGAATCGACTTCACAACACTTCATAACAACTTAGAATAAACACTTAGTTACACAACTTAAGAACATGAGAACGCAGCATGTATAGTTCATGGGGTGGCCATGAATTAATTGCTGTTGTTGCTATAAGGCTATAATTACTTTATTTCATTTATGTTGTTGTTAAGTGCTATTGAGTCAGTTCCAACTCATAGCGAACTTGTATAGGATTCCTGAGGAGCAGCTGGTGGGTTTGAACCACCAACCTTGAGTTAGCAGACCAGTGCTTATCCTACAACGCCACACCAAGTCCCCATAGTTGTAAAGCTTTCCCAAGCCCCAGTGATCATACCATTTTTCTGACCATCTCATTTCTCATGGAGGAAATGCTTGATACGTGACATGTGAAAGCAAGACCACTTTATCAGGTAAAAGAATTCTTTTTTTTCTCAGAACCATCAAACTAGATTAAGTTCTTAAGTGTTGAGAATTCATAAAAAAGAATAGAAAAGTTGCCTCAGGGGCAACTGGGGGGAAACCCCCCAAAACAGACCACTTGTTTAGGACAGGACCCTACTGTGACAGCTGTCACTCTGACCATCATTCCTGTCTACCATTTATAAACTGGGACTTAGGATGAAAGCACATGATGACAACATGTTCTAGCTAACACAATACAAAATAAAACAAGCTACAGGTCTAAAGTTCAGTGCACTGGATAAAATAATTTAAAAAAGCATCTTTTGAATGTAGGATTAAAAGGGTAAAAATGAAATAAATGAACGAATCAAGAAGTTCCAAGGAAGTCAAGTCAGAATCCAAGTGCCAAACTAAGCCATGCCACTATAAAACAGGAAAATAATTTGAAACTAAAATGTAAAGGCCTAAGGACTAATAGGTAAAAAGCAAAAAACAAAACAACAAAAAACCCCAAATAAAGAACTATAAGCTAAGAGATGAGTAAAGATGAAATGAGTAGAAAAACTAAGTAAAATAAGATTTTTTAAAGAGAGGAAGTCAAAACAGATTTAAAAAAAAATCAGGATGCAACAAAACAATTAAAATATTAAAATTACATGAAATTCAAAGATAAGACATGCTAATATTACTGCAAATATTATTTAAGAAACCTAAAATGTAGGGGAGGTATGTAAAATCAGCAACATCAACAGACAGCCTAGTGTTGAGTCAGATGCTAGCATGACATGTAATTGATCACCCTACCCAGAACCTTTCTGCGAGGAAAGGAGACACTATTAATACATTCACAGGGATAACAGGTGTAGACTTGCACGATCCCAGGCAAACTGCAATGTGTGGTCACTCAACATATAAGGGTAATGAGGTCTTCAAGGCTGAGGTCATGCCCACCACTTAGGGCCTCAAAGAAGTATCAGAAGCTAAGAGAGTCCTCCTGAAGGACTCACATGATCAAATATGCATCCCTCCACCCCCCATCCTTGTTTTTCTAGGAAAATAACACACCACCTCATGGCCTTTACTGAAGTGTATTAATTTGGTATTCATAAGACAATTAGCATATTAAAGTTTTATTAAGAGCGTATTCATAAGACAATTAGCATATTAAATTTTTATCAGTATGGTATTTTAATCATTTTAGAAAGCTGAATTGTACTTTAAAATGCACTGGTGGGCACAGTAAGATGAATCATGATTTAGAAATCTATTACATTATGGCTGTTTGTTATTGTTCAGTGTCGCTGAGTCAGTTCTGACTCATAGCAACCCTGGATAGGGTTTCCAAGAGCCGTTGGTGGACTTGAACCACCGACCTTATGGTTAGCAGCCCAGTGCTTATCCTACAGTGCCACACCCAGGACTCCAGCTATATGAATGTAGATATTCTCTTATACTTATTTGACTACAGAATATTGAGCCTGAAAGTTTTAAAAATCACTGTAGAATTACTAAGAAAGTTAGTAACCCTGATGCATGATCCATTCTTGACTTTTTAACTCAAGTTAATCTTAATGACTTACAAATAGGTTAACTTAAACAGTCCATACCTTACAGGAGAAGCTCCAACTTGGGATGTTTCTTGCTAACTCTGGTATCTTGTTTTTACTCTGCAGACACTTGGTTAGGTGATATTTCCTCAATTTTATTCTACTGAAATAATGATCAGCGAAGTTACAGTGATTCAAATGCTGTTTCTGCATGCATTTCCCAAGGTGAGGTACACTATACTTCAGAGTCTGGAGAAATAATCTGGTCTTCTGTTGCATGATATCAAAGTCCCTGGTTTATGCTCCCTTTGGGGCTGCCAGCACATGAATGATTTCAAAGGTATGAATAGATACAGTAGTGGGTTCTCAGAGCATCTAATATTGGCAGTTCTTATCCCTCCCCTTCAGGGCCATGAACCCCTTTAGGTGCAGACAACTGATAATTTAGGTTAAATAAATCTGAAAATGTGTGTAAGTTTCATTTAAACCATACTCTCGGTCATTGTAATTTAAATGTCTCATTTGTAACGTCAATCCTATTAGGTAGGCTCAAGCTACGCAGCAGCAATGATTCTGGTAAACATAGGGCCAAACTAAAACAGAAAACAAAAACAAAACAAAATAAAAATCTGCAAATACGTACATTAGATTTAATGGGGGCATCTTAAGAACTCTCTGGCTTTAAATGACTTTGGTCTTACACAACAGTGAGCATATTTTTGGTATGTATGTAGAGAGGATGAACTGGAAAAAGTTTAAGCACTTAATAAAGCCGGGGAGGGGATGATTAATATTAGTTGAGTGCTTGCTATGTGCCAGATGCTGTCATCACTCAGACAGTAATGAGTAGAGGAAAAAAGTCCAATCTGGTTTGTCTCCAAGTCTTGGACATAACAAACTTTAACATTAAAAAGGTATTTAATATTTTAAAAAGCATTTAAAACAAAACCAGCAAAACACAGCTTTTCAGGAGGCACAAACCAAATGTGAGACCATCTCTGCTTTCCGATGGAGAGTTGGTTCTATTAACCTTGACTGCTACTGTTAAGTGCCGTCAAGTCGGTTCCGACTCATGGCGACTCTGTATACGGTTTCCAAGGAGGGGCTGGTAGATAGTAAGTAAACCCGGGTTTAGGTCTTGGTTTCTGCACTTACTACCTGTCTCTGGGCCTCAGTTTCTTCATCTGCAAAACTGAAATAATGGCATAATTTACCTTATGGGACTGTTGCTGATAAACAAAACATGACAATATAGTTTACGACCTTAACACAGTGCCTGGCCAAGGTGGCTATTATTATTAGGATAGAATTAATCTGGGCACATTGCACGTTGTTGAGTGCTATCATGGGAGTTTTCCACAAAATGCCCCTCGGTATTAAAGAATACTGCGTCATATTTACAACCGATCACATCCGCTACGACGCCCCCCTCCTCCCCTTTATCTCCTATGTCGCAGTAAAATAATGGCAATGGCAAAGCAGAAGCCAAAATTAGTATATATATTTAAAAAGACTGAATAGCAGGGGGTTGCAGGAACCCTAAATCGTCATTATTTATTTCCCCAGCTTCAGTCCATTCATCTTCTTTCCCAGGAAGAATGCAAGGTTAGGGATGGGGGTGGGGTAAATAAACAGGAGATCCTATTCCTTTTCCCTGTGTAACTTTACCCTAGGGATGAAGCGCTCTGAGTGCAAGAGGGAGTGGTACCAAGTGCCATGCAAAGAAGGGAAACAGGCCAAAAAGCGAGGGCCAAGGGATTGAGGATGGCTGGATGGGAGTAGGAAAGGGAGAAAGAAGAGACCCCCAAGCACCACCCTATACGTACGCAAATTGAAAGTCCGCTCTGGATACAGAAACCAGTGAAGGCAAGCAGAGAACCCAACGTTCTGAGTAATGAGCGGAGATGATACCCCAGCCACGTCCAGCCGACGTCTGCGTTCTGCAAGCAGCAGAACTACAACCCTACTTAGAGCCGCCTAGAGCTGGTTTGCAGCACGCCGGTCTACGTAACCTTAATCTAGCACGAGTACGTAGCATATTTCGCCATCTTTATTGTGGTCAAAAAGGGGCCCTTTTTGGCCTTCCTGGCTCCTAAAACCACCAAGGATATGAGCCTTTTGTTCCTCTGTAGTTTTCTGAGTTAAAGATGAGTATAAGAGGAGACAAGCACAAAGAGAAGTAGCGCCGCACAGACTTTCTCACAGCTCACTCACCTTCCTGTTCGCCCTCACTCAAGATGGCCACCTGCAGAATGGTGCAAGGATGAGGTCAGCGACGCCCTGGTTGCCAAGGAGACGAGAAAACCGGAAATGCGGAATTACGGAAAGTCCTGCTTGCTAGGGTAGTGGGAGGGAGGCCGGGCGTCACAGGTCCTGACAGGGAAGAAGTGGACAGGTCCTGGCAGGAGAGAGCTGTGGCACCGGCAGCTCCTGGTGTTGGCGGCTTCAGTGGGATGGAGCCGCGACTTACTGATGTCGGGGCCGGTGAAGCTGAGCAAGTTGCAGGCGGGAGCCCGGCAAGTGGCAACGCCGCTCGGGGGCCCCAAGTCTCGGCGGCCTTGGCAGCCTCTCGCTGGAAGCTCCTGCGGCAGGTGAGGGAGGACATGCGCTCTTTACTATTGCTCTGACCACTCCCCTCTTGAGGGGCGAGCTAGGGGTTTCCTTTCCGCATTGCCAGGAGTTTCCTCAGCTTTGCCCGAAAGACGCCAGCTGAGAATGTCCCCCTTGCTTCGTGTTTTTTGCCCCCCTCTTTTATTTTTTATACATTATACGAGATAAACCATCCAAAGGGAAGGATCAGGTGGGACTGAGGGCAGCCATGCCTGAATTGCTTGGAAACTCAGATCGAAGTAGAAGATCCCTTATATAGATATTTGTCTGACTTTTCCCATTGCTCGTCAGTCTGTTTGTGGGACTACCGCCCTCTACTCCATACTATATTTTCTTGCTTCTGTTTTGTTGCATTCCTCTACTTTCTTCTTACATTCTAACTCCCAACCTAATTCTAGTTATCAGTTGCAACTCTGCATCCTCCGGCCCTAAGACTTAATTATCAACGTATTTGAATGTGTTTGGATCTGTCATGCTGCACGCATTGCCTCGTATTCTTTCCTGTGAGGGAGCATGAAAGGAATAGGAAAATCTGCCTCTGTGAAAGTTAAATGTTTATTTTGTTGTTTGAAGCGATATGCGAGACTCTCTGTGTGTGGTTGTTAGTTTTACTTTAAATAACGGTGTCTTCTGATACTTTAAATTTGCTGCTGTTGATAACTACGCATGGGCGTGACAAATATTTCTGATTTGTAATTGTAGACTTGCTCACTTGAAGTAGTATTGCTAGACCTGAAGTCTGTTTATTGTTTTTACACATCAGTGTCATGTCTTTGCCTTAGGCTACCTGCTGAAAACTTGACTAACGAGGACACTTTACATTTCTATTATGTTGCAAGAATAGCTTCCCAACTATTGCCCTATTACTTGAGGCTGTACTGTTAGTATCTGGTTGTCTTTGTTTGCAGTTGTCAGTTGTCTCTAGTCAGCTTTTCATGCAGTGTTATCATGACATAACTCTGTCAGCGTTACCATAAATTTTTAGGCTTTCTTATTCACAGTCTTTTCAGAGCATTAATCTGGTTTTGTTACAAATCATATTGTAGTGTAATAAAATACATATTTTCACAGACCAGGATCACAGGAACTATCTAATGAAGTAAACAGAGCAGTTAAAGTTAAATGAGCAAAACAATGAATTATATCCACAGCTGTTAAGGTCAGCACTGGACTGCGAAGCGAACCACAGATTGGTTGGTCAAACCCATCAGCTGCTCCTCCAAAACCCTATGCAAGGTCACTATGAGTCTGAACTGACTCGAAGGCCCTTAACAACAACGCTGCCACAGAGTCGATTCCAATGCATTCCAATTCTATAGGACAGAATCGAGCTGTTCCAACTCATAGTGACACTATTTAGGGTTTCTTAGACTGTAAACCATATGGAAGCAGACAACCTTATCTTTCTTCTTCAGAGTGGCTGGTGGGTTTGAATCATCCACCTTGTTAGCAATTCAATGCTTAACCTATATCACCAGAGCTCCTTAACTAGTAATTGCTGTTGTTGTTGTTAAGTGCCATTGAATCAGTTCCCACACATAGTGACTCTGTATAGAGTTTCTAGGAGTGACTGATGGGTTTGAACAGCCTGCTCCAAAGGAGAAAGATGAGGGTTTCTGCTCTCTGGTGTGGAGTTGTGTGTTAATGTGCTAGACTGCAAAGTCGGTTTGAATTGAAAAGTCAGTGGTTCAAGCTCACCTGTCGCTCCTTGGAAACCCTATACAGGGTTACTATAGGTTGGAACTGAATAGACGACAATTAACAACCTCAAAAATTTACAGCCTCAGAAGGTTGCTATGAATCAGAATCGACTTAATGGCAGTTGGAGTTTTTTGATGACATGACCTCAGTGATTCTTAGTATAATAAAAACTCGACTTGACCAACATTTATGTTCATTCTGAATTGCTATGTAAGTCACAACAGGGACAAGTTTCAGCTATCACTGCCAGTCAAACGTCTACATCCTTTGACATTCTAATGCTTTGGGACATGTATGCCTTTTGTTCAGTTGTTTTCTTTTTCTACTTGTTTAGAAGTTAGTTTATTTTGTTGTTAAGAATATACGTAGCAGAAAACTTGTTCAGCAATTTCTCTATGTGCAATTCCTTGGCATTTCTGACAGCCTTCAATTCAGCAATTGTTCTAACTCTCTTTTTCTGAATGCTTCCTCCCATTAACATAAACTCACTGCCCCCTAAGCTTGCTGTAGAACCTTTCAAGTTTTTGTTGTCAATTTGATACCATATTTGTTGTTGTTAAGTGTTGTCCAGTCGGTCCTGACTCATAGTAACTCTGTATAGGGCTTCCAAGGGGCGGCTGGTTGGTTTGAACCACCAACCCCATGGTTAGAACTCCAATGCTTATTCTACAGTGCCACACCAGGATTCCCTGATACCTTATTGTTGTTGTTAAGTGCTGTTGAGTTGGATCCGAGTCATAGCGACCCTGTATAAGGTTTCCAGGGAGCATCTGCTAGGTTTGAACTGCTGACTTTGTGGTTTGTAGTCTAGTGGTGATCCTACAGTATCACACTAGAAGTCCTGATATGTTACAGGTAGTTTAGTTCAGGCAGACATTCTTTACTAGTTATCTGCTTAGTCTTCTTATCTTCTTCTGTACTTACTTGGTGAATATCTGCTCAACCTTTAGACGTCTATCTCAATCTTCTCTTATATGAATCCTTCCCCAGCTCCTCTGGAAAAAACCCTGGTAACGTAATGGGCTCCACACTGGGCAGCTAACTAAAGGTCAGCAATTGGAATCCATCAGCCACTCCATGGTAGGATGATAAAGATTTCTGCTTCTGTAAAGATGTACAGCCTCAGAAACCTTATATAGGGCCACTATGAGTAGCAACCGACCCGAGAGTACACAACCACCAGCAACAAACTCCTCTGGACTAAGTAAGACCCTTAGTCTACTCGACTTAGTAGGTTGTTAGGTACTGTCAAGTCAGTTTCGACCCATAGTGACCTTGTGTACAACAGAATAAACACCGCCTAGTCCTGTGCCATCTACACAATTGCAGCTATACCTGAGTCTGTCGCTGCTGCCACTGTGCCAATCCATCTCTAGTCAGTTCCACGCTACTAGAGAACCCTTTATCATGCCGATTGTTGATAATTTGATCGGAGTGTCTCTCTCACTGGAGTGGTAGTTCTTCTTGGAAAAAGACCATGTTGTATCCATCACCAGCTGTTTTCCACGGCACTTAACAACAACACCCTCTGCACTTAGCACAGGTCTGGCCGAGTTGATTTTTAGTAAATATTGGTATCGAAAATTTGAGAGTAAGGACAATTTTTTTAAATGTTTTATTGTGAATTATGTGATAGTTTACATGCGAGAACATTAGTTTTACATTCATCCTATCGTATATCATTTCATTGTCATGGTTACAGTCCCCTCCATGCATCATCCACCAACCCAATGGTATACACTACAAGCCTGCCAATCCATCAGCACACAGCCTCTCTCTCTCTCTGTGTCTAAAGTCCCCAACTGCTCCATCTCTCCACGTCATCATCTCTGCCTCCATTTCAGGCATCACTGCTTCTCTGAGTAAGGTCCCGCTCTCCGCTCTTCTTCCTTGATGGTCCCAGGGACCTCCGCTCCTAGACTGAAAAGTTAAGCACTCCTCTCCTTGCTACAAAACGTCTACCTTTATATTTCCAACCCTCACAAGCAGTCCTGATAATGATCATTCACTATTGTATCATAAGAGACTTATCCGCATTTCCTTTCATCAGCCCCGCCTAGCCTAGACAGATTGGATACTACTCAGTGGAGATTCTACCTTCTTCCACGCCCTCTAGATCTAAGTTCCCTCTTGAAAGCTTACTAAGGAAAAATTTTTTGTGGTCATTAGCACCTAATCCTTTATTCGTTTTTGTTTGTTTTTAATAATATAGACATTATTACACATAGTTTATTTCTCACAATGTTCCTAACAAATGAACATTATTCAAGAACACATCCTATACACAGATAAGAAGCACACGAAATGTTTTAAATGAGGCACAACAAATCCAGTAATATCAAATAATGCATGCAAACTCTTATTCACTGCACAGACTTAAATTTAATCACTTGTTTAAATGGCAATAAAAATACAATCTTTTATGCTCTTGTGCAGACTATACAAGAGGGGATATTATTGCCATATATATGATTTTTATACTAGGCAGTTTTCTTTGATGAGTTGTACCCACAACTCCAGCTACAGAGGCTGTGCTGTGTATTTTAGAGGAATTAATGTTGTTAATTAGAGACTTTACACAGTTACCACCACTGGCACTTTTCACCATAGTTTGTATATATCACATGATCATCTTATATAGCATTACATTAAAAAAATATATATCTGAATCACAACTTATTAGACAGCTACAATGATAAAAACTGGTTGGTATGGGTATAAGGAAAGATACGTGGATCAATGGAGCAGAATTGAGAACCCAGAAGTAAATCCATCCATGTACCTCCAGCAAGATGGATTGACAAAGTGGCAACATCAATGGGCTCAAGCATGGCAACAATGGTGCAGTTGATCCAGGAAACGGGCAGTGTTTTGTTCTGTTGTGCATAAGGTTTCTATGAGTCGGTACTGACTCAATGGTACTCTAACAACAACAACAACAACAGTCAGTTGATCATTGTCAAAGGGCCCAAAACACACTGGATGGGGAAGTGATAGTCTCTTCAACAAATGATGGTAGCAAAACTGGAACTCCATTTGCAGAAGAGTGAAACAAGACCCATATATCAAGCCATATGCAAAACAAACTCTATGTGGATTAAAGACTTAGATGTAAACCCTAGAACTATCAAGATAATCAATGAAAATCTAGGGACACAAGATAGGGACGCTAGTAAATGGCATAAACACACTATTAAACATTATATACACCAACAGTAGAAGACAAAATAGATAACTGGAACCTCCTAAAAATTAGATACTATGTGCATCAAAAGATTTC